GCGTGCGTGCGTGCGTGCGTGCGTGCGTGCGTGCGTGCGTGCGTGCGTGCGTGCGTGCGTGTGTGTGTTTTGTTTTGTTTTGTGGCGAGTGTGCGTGACAGTGAGAAAATGCACAAGACTTAAAAAAAAAACACTACCAGACAAAATGAAATCAAACATGAAACACAAATTTACACAACTATCCCAGGCAAATATTTTTGTTGTTATTGTGACATGTAAAACCTTAATATTTTGAATTGTATATATAATTAGGAAAGTAGGAAAAAATGAATTACATGTGCCAACTGTGTTTTTATTATTATTATTATTATTATTCTTTTAGTTATGTAAGATAAAATTACCATCAGAGTTCAGACGAGCTGTGGATGTAATTTATTGCTTACTGAGTCGAACCTCAGACATCATCATGTCGAGAAATTAAAAGTCACTTTTTTTCATTTAATCAGCAGCCGTGGCTTTTCGTTCACACTAAAATTACACTAATTTAAACTACCTGAAGACACAAAGCCAAACATCAGAACTGTGTGCTGTTTTTGACTGTTCTGTATCTCTTGCACTATTATCAGCAGGATGTTTAAGAAAATTAAGTATTTAGCACAGAGATTCTGTTTGGTTCAAAAATAACTTTGTAAAGATTGTTTTTATCCTTTAACATTTGAAAAATTTGTTATTGACACAACTGGATTTTGAATAAAGGAAAATTAGTTGAGAACAGGAAAAGTTTTTCTAGCAACATGCAGAATATTTAATTTGTGGAATATGTGTAATGTTTGAATTATGAGCATGTCTGTTGTAGTTTTTACCGTTTATTCAGCTGAGGAGCTTTGACGCTTTGCCGCAACGACCATTGTTTGTACTTTTTTTTTGTTTTTTTGTGGAAGCTCAGTTGAAATAATTCTGGGGGGAAATACTTCTTTTTGTTCTGAATTAATGTATTGGCAATAAGTTCTATTTGAATGTCCTCAACAATCATCGCAATGTAAACAGGCAACAGACGTGTCACTCAATTTTATGTTTACTTTTAGTATAAAGCATTCTTTGTCTATGCATTGTGTTTTGTTTTCTAAAGTGTCTTACTGTATAGGGCTGTAATAACAGCCTTTGATCAACTTGTAAAATAACGTGTGGGAGTGTGTGTTATCTTTGGACTTAAAAAGAAGAAAAAGAACAACTCCATGTCTTGATTTTCACCATGCTGGTGCATTAAGGYTTTTATTGTGTATCTTTTTACTGTGACTTAATGTTGCCTGTCCTTTTTGTTTGTTTGTTTTTGTTTTACTTTTTTAATTTGTTGTCTTGGCTTTTTATTTTTATTTTTGACTAGTTGGTTTGTTTTGTATGGCTGCTGACCATTCTGATCAAATGCTTCCAAATCCAACTGAACCATTAAAGAACTTTTAAAAAGTTACAATGTAATATTTTTTTTCAGGATGAGTTATGGGTGCTGGTATCTGAAAGAAAAATCTCAAATCTAATGTAAATATGAATTGCTTTTTTATTCGGGGGGGTTCTGGCAAATCTAGTTTAATTAAACATTTTTTTAGTATAAAACAAAAGATTTTTTGCTAGGACTTCAGGAGGTAACRGAACCATCAGGGAGATTCTGTCTAACTAAGTATAAGACATTGTCTCAGTTTTAGGCTAAACATTTTCTGTCACTTGAAGTTGTCTCATCCCTGGGATGTTCTCATTTTCTTTTCTAATAAACTAATAAAACAAACAACAAAAGCTGGACCGTTCCCACACAACATATGGTGTCAGCAGGGGGATTCCTCGCAAATCTTGCACTCAAACTGAAGTTAAAGTCTGTGGCTAGCAGACAAAAACCTCTAAAATAAAGGGTTAAAAGGGCCTCAGCAAACAAGGACGAGGAGCCTCTAGAATCCCAAAGTTACAAGTTATAAGTTCTCTGAATTATTCATAACAAGCAAGCTGGAGTAAAATCCTTTCAGTGGCGTAATTTATTTTAGCTCTGGTTCAGTAAAAACTTGCTGTTCACCAACAAAACCCTGTCCACAACCAACCGCAGCTTCCCAYATTTCCAATCAGCTGTTAATTGAGTCAGATGTCTAAATTGGATGCAGTTTGGCCACCAAGTTAGAAAAGGGACTCMTTTCCTTGCTGCTCTAATGATGAACATCTGTTCCCTGTGTCCCCATACATWTGTTAAAAAAAGAACAAAAAAATTTCAATTAGGAGGCAACAAGCTCAGGGAATAACAAACCAGCTGTTGGCTATGGTTACACTCTTTATGCATCATTTTATAACATAGCTATTATTCATGTTAATTTTTAAAAATCTGATTGATTTTTATCCACAAATATATACAGAACTTCAGTTTGACTTTGCAGTTTACATCTCCAAGTGTTATTTTTATGACTAACGAGTCTAAATGTGTCTAATTGATCATAACAA